AGCTCTTACATCTTTCTTCTATCCCCTCTTCTTTGCTGTTCTCTGAGACTTCTAGAGGTATTGTTGATGTTCTATTTATGGCTGAGAATGCACAGTGACTTATTCTCTGCACTAAGAATAGTTTTGAGTCTCTTCATTAGCAATTACACTTTGCAATAAGAAGCTTCTTTCACTGGCTGAAAGCAGCACAAATCTATGGATGTAACATGAATATTCATAATGAAGTTTGGCAACATGACTTTTCAGTAAAACAACAGTAGTTTCTCCTTTAAGGCCCATGGCTTTGTTAACTATGTGTTATGATCATGTTTACAGTACCAGGCTCTCTTTGGGGGAGCAGGCCTCAAATACAATCAAGAGATTGTTTGGTTACCCCTGTAAACAGTAATGCCACTATTGCACATCTTTCATTTAATGTCATTAGCATAGTATGCAGGGTCCAATGCTGGGTAAGACAGTTGATGTCTTTTCTTCCACATAAGCCTTCATAGCAATGTACAGCAATTTGAAAGTTAGCCAACACAGATATTCCTGCCCAATTCAAGATTATTTTTCTATGTCCTGTAACCAAGGTGTCTATATACCTTATTTTTTGAGACAATGTCTCTTGCTGAATCTTGAGTTCACTAATTCAGCACATTACCTGGCCAACAAGCCCCAGGGACCCTTCTATGTCCACTTTCCCAGCCCTGGGTATATATACATATGCTGTGCTTTGCCTTTACCTGAGTGCTAGGAAAATGAATTTGGGTCTTCATGCTCACAGTGTAGCAAGCATTTTATTGACTGAGCTCTCACCATAGTAATATTTCTAATAATATATTGTAGCTATAATTTTTTAAAGTTGTGGTTTTTCTTTCACCTGAATTAATCTCTAATTTTTTCTAATATTACCTCTTCTTATAGCTTGCCTTAAATTCTAGTTCTTGGACTCTACCTTGGTTAGTTTTTAATGTCTACTTTATGCATCCTAGAGTCATCTAGGAAAAAGAAATCCTAATTGATGGATTGTACAGATTAAATTGGCCTATGGCCATCTGTGTCTTGAGAGATTGTCTTGATTGATGTGAGAGGGCTCTGCCCACTATCAACCTTATGGAGATGGCCTGAAATATATAAGAACACTAGCTGAGTATGAGTCATGGAGCAAGCCAGAGAGGAAGTCAGCAAGTATCAGTCCTCCCTGATGCCTGCCTCTAGATGCCTGCCTTGAGTTTTTCCACTGACTTTCCTCGATGATCTACTGTGATTTGAAAGTTAAGTCAAATAAACTGTTCCCATTTCCAAAGGTGGATTTTGTTCAGTGTTTTATCATAGCAAAAAAATAAACCAGAACAGAGTCCACTGGCCAAAATTCCAATGAAAAGATATGTGTGTTCAAAGTTATCGATTTTTTTGTATATTTTTGGTGATGAGTTATACCCAAAATAATCTATTTAAAACAAATTCAAAATTCACATGGCTTTTAGTATTCCCATTATTATCATTAGAACGAAATACTTCTCAGATTATTTGAAGTATATTCTAGGATACCCTCACCTGTAACCTCTATCAATCATACAAATAAGTCTCACACAGTCTACAAAAAGAACTATCTTCTGGAAAGGAGCCTCTTTTTTCTCTTTCCTAGCCACTGTTGCAAGTCTATTTTGAAAGCTAATTTATACTGTGTACTTTGAAATTCCATGCTCATCACAATTGGGGTGGTAACACTTCTTGGCCTCATCCATTCTATAATTTTTCAATTGTGTAAATTTTGCCTTTTCCTTTAAATTTTAGAACTTAGTGTATCAGGTTTGAGTCTTAGAATGTTTATATTTCTCTTACACAAAGTCTCTAGCCCAGAGCTAGGTATCTATTAGGTGTTGAAAAGCATCATTGATGGATTTTTTATATATCAATATTTGGTAGGAAAGTTTGACTGCTCAGCAAACTGAATTATGGACATAAACACCAACCTCCTGTTTAATTCCAAAAAAGCAAATCACCTCGAGATTTTTAAGAGCTGATAATTAAGACACCTCATATATATTAATAGAATGAAGAAGGATCATTTTTCAATCCTCTCTCCAAATTCTTTCTGCAGCCTGTGGAGATCTGTTTTTGGAAACTGCATTAGAGATGAGGAGGGAAAGGCTTCGTAGCAAGGAGCAGGATCAGCTTTCTGCCCCATGCCTGGCAGAGGCTGTGGCTGCCCTCCATGTGATACTTTAAATCAAATGAAATCTGTGGTGCCTCTGAGACTTCTAGAACTAAGAGAGCTTCTTCCACAGCAGTTTACACGATGCTAACACAATTGAATACAGTGGGATTTACCAAGGGAAGGGAGAAAATAAAGAGAACAAAAGTCAATATAAACCATAAACATCATAAATTCCCAACTGTATGCTGATAGCGAGGTTAGATGGGGAAATTCCAGCTTCAGGCAGTCAGTAAAGCGGTTAATATAAAGACAAAGAGTAACATGAGACCCCAAAGATACATAAATGTAAGAGGTCGTAGAAGACTCACTTGACCTATATGTGCTACATTGTCAACCCTTGGATAATAGAAGGGAACAGAAACATGGTTAACTTTTAAAAAACTGTAGAACCTAGTCCAGTACCATCTGAGGTTGATATGTAAAATGAATAGAAAATTTCTTAATAAAAAATTTTTTTAGAAAAGCATAGAACCTACCTTGAGCTTTAGATTCTCACATTCTAGCAGCTCTCCTCTTCCAACTTAACTTAAAGCTTTTCCATCTCTCAAAGAACTAGAAAGAGAGTAAACCAAACTAAAATTAAATGCTAATAAACATAAATTCAATTGTTTTGGGAGGAGCCAAAATCTGAATACTCTATCTTTGGATAGTGAAATATTTATATTTAATAACATTCCTTTAAGTATGACAGTGATTGTTTCTATTTTTAAAATCACTTATTTTAACTCATTTACTATCCCAATTTCACACTCAGTGTAGTATTTATTCTTTCCAGTTTAAAGGTGGAATAAATTGTAGCACCAATTGAGTAAAAGACTTTGTAAGCTCCCAGCTTGACTTTGTGCTCAATGCCAGTCAATCAGAGAAGTCTTCTCTGTGCTCATGATTATATATCCATGAAGAAGATAAAAATTACTTCTGTCACCTCTAATTTTCCACATAAAGTATTTTATGTTTACTAGTATATATGTATATTTAGCCAGCTACCCTAGAACTGAACAGCCATTTTTCTGCCACTTTAATTTGGTCTTTTTGGTCAAAAGCATGAGGAATCAGAAACATGTCTTTAACCAAGGAGGTAGCTAGACACTAGTGAAACTATAAGTCTTGCAAGAAACAGGAAGTGTGGGCCTCTGCAGTCAATGCTAGCAATGCAGCTCTTCTGTTTCTGGCCATCCAAGGCCCCTTGCAATTGGATTCAGAAAGAAAACAGCAAAACTGAGAAAATGTCACTGAGAACAGGATTTCTTCCATGAGTAGGAGAAGCAGGAGAACAAGAATGGAGCAAGGTTTAGAGATATCAAAGCCATGGGGATGGCAGAGCAGCCAGGTTTGAAACAGGGCTAAGTACTGTATTGGATAACAAGCTAGGGAAAAGAAACCGAAGTTCTTACTGGTATTTGGAGATTAAAAATCACTAAGCACCTTCAATTTATTTTTTCATATGCTCCTCATTCTGTTTTGTTATTTTGTTTTTTCTTTTAGTTAGGTTTGGAAGTTTTTGAGACAGGGTTTCTCTGTGTAACAGCCATGTCTGTCCTAGAACTCACACTCTAAACCAGGCCGGCTTCGAACTCACAGAGATCCACTTTCCTCTGCCTCCCAAGAGCTGGAATTAAAGGCATGTGCCACTATGCCCAGCTTTACACTCACCATTTTTTTCTTGGTTTTTCGAAACAGGGTTTCTCTGTGTAGCTTTGTGCCTTTCCTGGAACTCACTTGGTAGCCCAGGCTGGCCTCAAACTCACAGAGTTCCGCCTGCCTCTGCCTCCCAAGTGCTGGGATTAAAGGCGTGCACCACCACCGCCCAGCAGCACTCACCATTTTTAATGTCCCCTTCTTTATACCTTTATAAAGCCTAACTTCTGACATAGAACCTATGCTTGTACAGATTTTTTCCATTGTGTTATAGTTTAAAGATCCAATTAGTTTTTATAAACTCAATTTAGAACATTAAAACCAATGTTTCCTCCTTTTTGATACCAATCTTATATGCTCTATTTATCAAATCCTAGTGACATTTTTGTTGTAGAATATTATTTTAAGATGTGTTACTTTTGTTCATGCTGTGGAACATTTGTTTAATGATGCAAACATGTGTTGCATTCTTTTATGTTGTATTTGTTTAACTCTGTGAAGCTGTGTTACTTTGCCTGCCTAAAACACCCGATTGGTCTAATAAAGAGCTTAACAGCCAACAGTGAGGCAGGAGAAAGGATAGGCAGTACTGGCAGGCAGAGAAAATAAATAGTAGGAGAAAAGAGAGAGAAAAGAGATCAAGGAACAAGAAAAGGAGGAGAGTCAGATGCTAGGGGCCAGCCACCCACCCACACAGTCAGCCATGGAGTAAGAGTGAAAATAAGATTAGAGAAGTAAAAGAAAGATAATATCGCAGAAGCAAAAAGTAGATAGGATAATTTAAGTTAAGAAAGGCTGGCTAGAAATAAGCCAAGCTAAGGCCAGGTATTTATAATTAATAATAAGCCTCCCTGTATTTATTTGGGAGCTGGGTGGCCGGCCCCCAAAAGAACAAAGAGCAACAGAGTAAAAATACTACCAACAACTCATATTGTTGCTTTTTTTTTAATGAGTAAAATTTTCACATTTTTTCTTATTTATTCTTCACATTTTTGCATTTCCTTCCTTAAGGTGATACACTCATGTACATCTAACCAGAGCTCTTGGTAGCCAACAGAGTCCTCAGGCAGTTGTGCTATTTTACCATCTTATAGATTTTATATGATTGCTTTTTGCCTCATTCAAACAAATGCAGCCAAGTCTACTGTTTTTCTTTCAGGCTCCTCAAAGAGCATCTTGGAGAAAAAGAAGTTGAATTGACACTCATCTTTGACTCAGTGGTGGAAGCTGACTTGGCTAATTATACCTGCCATGTGGAAAACAGAAATGGACGGAAACACGCCAGTGTTCTACTACGTAAAAAGGGTATTCCTTTTCATAAGCACAACTACGTCTTCACTAACTACTAATAACTACTAAATATGTGTTCTGGACATAGTTTCTCATTTAATAAAAACTTCCTTTAACTATTGTTGTCTTTTTAAGGAGAAATATTTCTCTTGTTGAGCATATTAACAAAAATAAAAAACCTATGACTTTCAATAGCATGAGGAAATATATAAAAATTAAAGTATGGTTATACATTAATTCAATTGACATAAAATGGGCCATGTTTGTAATTCTAAGTGATACATAAAATTTTGGCATATAATGACATTCAATATTTTCTCTGTATTTCATCTTCTTATAGTGCTTAGTTGAAATGTTAGACATTATATTATCAGATTACAAAGTTACTTTTTAAATTCCAGAATAAAATGTAACATAAGTAATTAGTAATATCATATAAGAAAAGTTTTCATAAACACCATAAGTTTTGTTTTGTGACATGACATGTTATTAAAAGACCCTCAGTGGGTGGATATATTTCTAAGTATTTTGGCATTTCTGGAAAAGTCCCTCTTAATACTCTGTTCTAGAATGGGTGAAATTGTTTGTGATGGGCAAAGAAAAGAAACTAAATTTATACATAAAAGTGCTAAAACTAAACAGTACCAAAGAAGCATCTTAAAAGGCTTTACCAGAAGTCTCCATTACTACAAAACGGCTAAAGAGTCTGTGTGATCACCTGGGAAAGGGTTTGTAAATATAGCAGAACACATGTTCTTAATCAGGCCAATTGTTGCTTAGACTATAGAACAATAGAACAGATTCAATCAGCAAAATCACTAGTTACATCTACTGGCCAAGATGGAATTTCCATTTTCTTGCCAGACCCAAAGCTTGAGCCTGATGAAATCTCCAGAAGAAGCAAGGAAGCATGCTTATTCTGAGAATGACGCTTCTATCTCAGCAGCACCATGTCTCATATGACTGGATTTGATGCTGTCTTAAAATAAAGGCGTGTTTATGTATAAAGGGGTCTAATATGGAAAGGGAGGTCAGTGCCAGCAGGTTCAGGTGATATGGTTCATCCACCTGGGGAAATCTAAATGACTTGCCTGAGTAGAATTTTGGAATCTTAGTCTCCTCATATGTAAAATGGGAGTAACAATATCTATGTTTTAAAGTTGCAGTTTAAATAAACATGTACTAGATATAAAATATATCCAATATAAAAAGTGTTCTTTATTGTACTGAAATTTAGTAATTTTTCATATACATACCTTCCTACATTAGCACAGGCTTTGCCTAATCCTACATACCTTGTGGCAAAAGTCACTTTGTCCTTGTCCTTTCGGGTCTTATTCTTGGTTCCAAGATTCTCCAGGCCAGGGTTTGCTGCTGTACTTCATCTTCAAGCAACTTGGTGTTTTGCCACTAAGAAACACTTGTAATGCATCTTGGTTAAATAAATGATTACAAGGCTCTTTTAATATTGAGAACTCATGTGTAGTAGACATATGCTAGGTATTGAGAAATAGACAAAGAAAATAGACATCCTCAAACCTCTGGGGTAGTAAGAATGGAAAGAAATATAAACATTTAACAAAAGTTATGCAAAACATATATATTCCAATGTGAAAATTTCTTTGGGGAAAAATATGAAGGAAGGTCTTATAATTAAGCCAGTGGGAACAGATATAATCTGAGTTTTAAAATAAATCTATTCTATTTAAAAGTAGAAGCAACAACTGGCAGTTCTTAAAACTCTAGAAATCTGCAACTGGACATGAGGACACTGTAAAACTCTACTGCCTTTGATATCATCTGCAAAGAACTTTGACAAAAATTATTAATAACTGACAACATTAAGTCTCATTTTCCTTATACTTAAATAAATTGAAATTCCCTGGTTTTCCAGCTTCTTCTCATCCGATCTCTGGATGATCTCATTTAGTTTCTATCCCATTGCTTGCAATTTACTTGTTCTTACCTCACACACAAAGTCCAGACTTACATATCCATTTGCCTATTTAATAATATGCAATAACTTATATATTCCATAGTCACATCAAGATCCCAAACAAGATCCCTAATTTTTTCTGCCTATACACATTGATCTTCTGTTCTTCTTCATCTCTGTCATCATCATAATAGTTGTTTGGGTCAAAATAGTCAAAGTCATCCTTCACTTCTAGTTTTCCCTACCATGTCCTGTATCTATGCTACCACTAAGCCCCATGTTTCAACTTTCAAAGGCAGTCACAGCTGTGACAACGTTCTCAGCTTCACTGCCACCACCTGAATTGGAGCTACAAGCTCAGATGAACTGAATGAAACCCCAAACTTGCACTATTGCACAATCTGCTCTTATTGCTGATCTCACTTTCTACCACCATCTAGATCAAATGGAGTACTCAATAGCCTCCTTTTATTTTCTCATGTTCATCAAGCATTGACCTATCTTAGACCCTTATCTCTTGTTGATTTCTTCTGACTGGAACATTTTCCTCAGCTGTTCTCATGGTTGCCTACAATCACACAGGCCTCTTCTTACATGAGTTCCTCAGCAGGGATTCCCTGACCACTTCATATAAAATATAATTCATTCCTTTTGTGTGCCCTCTAAGTTTATTTCTTTCCAGTATATTAATTAGTATTGGATATTATATTGCACATATGTTTCTTGCATTCTCCCTGTCCCAAGGATGTACATTCCATAAGTATAGAGATTTTTCTTATGTTAGTGACAGCTGTATACATAGTACATAAAATATAATAAATGCTCAAAAGTATTTGTTGAATGGAAACTCTCCACATATATACTAGCCCAATGTAGTGAGAAGAAAGATAAAAGAGATTATAAAACAAGATTTTATCTATTAACTTGTCTTGACTGTTTGCCCTCAGTTACTTCAGGGCATTTTTTTTTATTTTTAAAGATTTTAACTCAGGCTTGGAGGTGAAAAGTCAAAGGTCTCAAAGGCCAAATGCATATGAAAAAATAAAAGAAAGTTCACGATTAGAAAGAATTAAAACATGAACTGGATAAAACACATTTTACCTAAAGGTCAACCCATCATTCTCTTCTAGAAGATTTTGATGCAAGATATGAAAGCTTCAAAGTTTTCAAGTGAAGCTGAGAGGATAAAAATGATTTTTTTAAATTAATAAACAACATATTCATTTTTCTTGAAGCATTTTTCATTTCAATAAAATCACTTTTCTAGGTGGAAGTTAAAGTTTTCATTGTGCTTTGCTAAAGGATGCAGTTAATTTTTCTTCATTTGGTCTTTGAGCTCTCAGAAATTTGAAAGGCACAAGTCTTTGTGAACCTGTTAGAATTTTGAAAAACCAGATCAAGTTTATCTTGTGTTAAGAAACATTTAAAGGTGATATTTAAACCTGTTAGCCTTTATCACTAGAGCCTTATCTCATTGGCTATGGTAATTCTACCTAGAATGTGAGTATATCTTGTTTTATGAAACAATGACTTATTAATGGACTGTGAATCAAATATTTAAAATCCCCTAAGTCATCCTTATGGAGAAGAAACTTGTGAAGAATCATTCCCTGAACCCAAAATGGCTTTTATAAAGTGAAAATTCACCTCCAACGTATCCAATGAACGTAGACAGGGATTACAAAATATTATACCCTTTAACTGTAAGCTCCTACACTCACCTATCATTTTGTTTTTTCTGAAGAACTATTAACCAGAAAGTATTACTAACTATAAAGTAGTAAGAGGTCCATCTGATTTTTTCCTCTTGGTGAACCAAGATTATGAACTTAACCTAAAAACATTCTGGTAAGTAGTTCTACCTCTCTGAACATACTCCCTTTCTCACAAAATATAGGTATGACACTAAATCTCAATCTCTTTTCTTCTTTCCCCTCTCCCTCTCTGCCTCTGCCTCCCCCTCCATCTTCCTCCCATTCACCCTCCCTCTAGCATTTCCTACTACTCCACCTGGACTCTTACAATGCTATAGCAAGCTCTCTTAGCATTTTAAGAGGCTATGTTGGATTGTGTAATTTATAAAGAACAGAAATATGTTTTTCATCATTCTGGAGGCTAGAAAAATCCAAGATCTAGATCTTCATAGATTTTTATCTAGTAAGGACCTCATCCCTATTTCCATCAAGTGGACTTTACTAGTCATATTTCTACCAATGTCCTGCTCAGAACCATTTAGGGTTATTTATTTTTTAAAATTGAGCCTTTCCCTGGAGTCCTCATCTTTTTTTGAACTTTCCCCATTCTCTCCCATAAGACACTTTGTATTCACAGTGTACATCAAATCTCCTTGAACCTCTACCCATTCATTACCCATTTTCAAACTACTTCCACATCTGTAGGTATTTGTTATAGAACTACCCTACTTGTCAGCAATAATATATTTATTAATCTATTTGGCTGCTAAAACAAAATAACTTTAACTGAGCAATTTATAAAAAAACCCCACAGATTTGACAACTACAATTCTAGAGATTGATGTGCTAGCATATTCCCTTTCTAGTAAGTACCAGTTCCTCCAGTAAATTCTGTGATTTCACAGAGGAAAAGAAGTAAGAAGATTCTCTATGTCCTCTAAATGGGGTTCTATTTCATTCATGATTATGAAGCCCTCTTGAGCTACTTATATCTCAAAGGCCCCAAATCCTAATGGGAGACATTGGAGACAAGTCAAAACAAATGTTTTGTTTAATGCTGGGTATCAAACTCAGGTTTCTAAAAAATGTACAGCTACTGAGCAACGTCCTTATATCAACAAACATGTATTTTGAGAAGATGCTAACATTCAGGTCACAGCAGAAATCCTCAGGTCAATCTCCAAACTCATTCACTAATTTTTAAGTTAGAGAAGCAAGTTTCTCTCTCTCTCTCTCTCTCTCTCTCTCTCTCTCTCTCACACACACACACACACACACACACACACACACACACACACACACCATGTTTTGTCTCTTGGAATCACTTGCTATTTTTCCCATACAGTAATGTCTACCTTTTGTGTTCACACTGAAGAAATAGATGGGTTCAAACTAAGAAGATACAAAAGAACGGTACATGTATGATGAGTGCCTACAAAAAGTTGTAACCACACAAAAGTTTCTTCTGTGGTTATAGTTATCCTTAGGAAGTATTTACAAGTCAAAGACCAACATAAATGACTTTCGGCTTCTCAGGAAATGTTTTGAAGTATAGATCCTGCTGGGATAGAAAATGGCAAATGCAAACAGAAGACAAAAGAAAAGCCACATGTCATTTGGCTGATGGCAGTTTTAACCTCTGATTATAGGATGGATGTTTCTCTTTTGATAAGACTGCCTTGGCTGAATCAAAGAATACTTGTTGGGTCTCAGAGTCAAGGTTCACGCTTTTCAACTTAAACAGCCACCATTATGTAATATTTTTCAGAGGCATTTTTTATGAAATGGACCCCTAAATCGCAAAGGTACTTTTCACACCATGATTCTCTTCCATATATTTACTGCTGACATGGGTGCCTGCTACTCTGGAGCACGAATTGGTCTGGCTGCTGAAGTTTTCCATCTACCTAATAGCAAATGTACTCTGTAAATAACATAGAAGTTGTTGGGAAAATTTCCATTCAGTGACTTTGAAAACAGTTGAGAGATGTTCTGGCCTGAGAGGAAGTGGAAGAGAGAGGGTGTGTGGGGGGGGGGGGGGCGGTAAGAGGGAAGAGGGTAACGAACAAAAGAGAAGAGAAACATCAAGACATTTACAGAATAAATTGAACAATTATTGTTGTAAAAAAAAAACAGGAACAAGCATTTGAATTAAGTCAATCAAGGCTGTAAGTTGAAAGAGAAGTTGATTTTTCAGAATAACAAAGAAACATTTATTTTTTTCCAACATAGCACTGGTCATTTGCGGTGTATTGTTGATAAAAAGTGGTGAGGAAACTAGTAAAGATTGTGATTTGCTTCCCAATATAAGTTGCAAGCTTGCTTTGTGCCCCAGACAGAGGTAGTCAGTGGTTCCTAGGACACCAGTTTGTAAGACAAGAGGCATGCTTAATATGTAAAGAGAGTTTTTATTTTTGCCTAAAATGTGGGAATTTCATTTCAAATTGAATTCCACTTTTAGTAGGTAGGACAGAGATACTCACTTCCCATACCTGCTCATCAAGCCCCCTCATAATGTTCATTGTAGACAGTTTGTCCTTCACAACAGCTCCATTCTCTTCCCCCTTTCCATCATTCCTCCTTTTGCTTTCAAGAAAGAAGAGTTGCATTTATTTCCATTTCCACTCTGTGATTTTTCCCATTCAACTGTATTGTGTCCAGCTCTAGGTCTTCTTCCTTGGTAAAACTTAATTCCTTCATTCACCACAAAACTTATTACTTTCCTTCCCATGTGGAACTCCTAGGAGCCCCCTCCTTCCATGGCTATAGCATGTGAAATCTCCTCAACTAATTTTATTCTTACTAGTAATTGTAGTATATCCTCTTTCTTTGGAGCTCAAATAATGGGAGCCAAATTCTCCTCAAGTCACATGGTATGAGGAAATATCACCAAGATTTCCATGGGAGAATATGGAGATAATTTCCTATTATCATTTCCAGGGTAAAGTAGATAATGCTGTGGTAGAATAAAAAAAAGTCTTGAATTTGAATTTAGGAAACCAAGATTCTTATCCTAAGTGACTTAAACTATAGAGTCTCAAATTCTATATCTGTCACTTTGGTTAAAAGTTCTTGTGATACAAATTTATTTACAAAGTAAATAATAGACTGGGTAAAGTATACACACACACACACACACACACACACATATTTCATAATATAATCATCCATTTTATAAATTATAATATGCTAAATCAATTTTGTTGCATTGACCATGACTTATTTTTCTTAAGCAATGATCTTATATAAAGAAAAGGAACATTACCAAAGAAAAGTTGTCTGTGTTTCTCAAGAGTCACAGTCAAATCAGAAATTTGAATCAACCTACCCAGGGAAAATGACTGATGCCAACCACAGTCAGAAGCAACTAATGCACAAAATAAAATGTCAATTCCCTTGCCAGTTTCTAGTTACATGGTAAGCTGAATTAGTAATAGAGTATTTGCTTGATAATTACAGAATTAGATTAACTGGAGACCACCTAATCTTGTAGGCAATTTCATTTAATTGTGAGACCAGTGGATGTTCTTGTCCCTTGACAGAAAATGTTTCTCTTTTCTGGTCTCTCTCAGATTTAGCATATCTCCTTTGGAAAACACTGAACTCAAAAATCTAAAATATCCTTTGACTATTATATTACTAAATTCCATCATACTCTCCTTTTTGATGATCTCTCTAGATTTGTTAATATTATTAATTAAGCAACAGGTAATCCACTGTTCTCTGAGCCTAGGAGACATTATTGTCTCATTCCATTATGTGCTGATTTAATTATCCCAACTCTCAGAGTTCCAGGAATGCCTCAGTGGAAAAGCTCAAGTATAACATACATTGGTGTTGGCCAAAGAGGCTAAATGATTAACCTAGATTTCTCATTCACTTTTTGTTCCTCTGGGTATATTATATCACAAATATATTATAGTAATTTATTCAAATAAGTATGGGGAACGGGTAAGTTAATTCCCCCTGCTTAACGTGTATTAGATTATTTTCTATTGAGGTTAAGTGGAACAGTTAAATCTTGCAAACTCATTAGATTTTATTTGATTCTGAAAGTAATTTTATGATGTTATTCTACTGTAGAAGAATAGAGCCGGTGGCCTGAGAAGTACAGGAGATAATCTTGCTAAACCAACAAGATATTTTAACAGAAGCAACAGAAAATTATCCATGAATCCAAAATAAAGGAGCTTTAATAGTTCCCTGATAAACAATTAAGGAAATGCATGTGAAAATGCTATGTCTTCAAATTTAATTGGAATTTAAGTACTTCTTTTATTATACAATTACTACCTGTAATAGTAAATTGCTCAAAGCTTCCAAATATAGTTAATTTTATTAACTAACATATCAAGATAAATTTGTCATGTACAATATGTTCTGAAAAGAAAAGCAGAATGATCTCTTACATAGAGGAATTTGGGGAAATTCCAAGTGTTGCTGATTTAATTACCTTTTTCTGTTTACCTCAGATTTAATATACAAAATTGAGCTTGCGGGTGGCCTGGGAGCAATCTTCCTCCTGCTTATACTGCTGGTGGTGGTCTACAAATGCTACAACATAGAACTGATGCTCTTCTACCGACAGCGTTTTGGAGGTGATGAAACTACTGACGGTAAGTCATCTCCTGTTTCCCAAGCTCAATTAATAGGTATAATTGGTCATGTAAGAGTCTATTTCTATTCTTGGAAACAGAAACTAAAATATTTAGGGATAAAGGATTATTACATGTGTAACTTACTCTCAAATAATTTAGGAAAAAATGTTTATGAAGAAAAAACATGAATAGGCAAATCTAGGTAAAGGGTATAATGCATTATTTTAAAATAATCTTATTCATGTAGTCTTGCTATGTTTGCCACCATTTCTAAATAAAACAAAATTGAGCAAGATGTTTCTTGATCTAGAGACAAACAGCTGCTATGAAAGCCTTTTCCCTTAGCAGAACACAAGAATAAATTTACATGTTGTTTTTATCTAGAAAATTAAAACTTAGATACAGGTAATTTTTACCAATTGCTATCATAAAGAAGGCAATCATGTACACAAAAATATTTTTATAGTATGGGCATGCTCTTTTGAAAGCTCAGAAATGTACATAATCTTACATATTTTTAATAATTTTATTACCATTCTTTTTTTGTTTTTGTTTTTGTTTTTCGAGACAGGGTTTCTCTGCGTAGCTTTGCGCCTTTCCTGGAGCTCACTTGGTAGCCCAGGCTGGCCTCGAACTCACAGAGAT